TGCAAATGGTGGCGCTGTTTGGAAAATTTGAAAACAACAAGATTGGCAATTTATTTGGATTTCGAAGGTATTATTGTATTGTTTTACTTTAGTTTACTGATTATTTTCTAAAATATTATTATTTTATTATTTAAATTCTACTTTAATTTACTTTATAAAAATAAATGAGAGATATAAACACATGATTGAGATGATTTGACACGTTTTCGCGACCTAATTGAATGATTTGGGTTCGGTAGGCCTTGTAAGCATGAAGTTATTGATGTCCTTTTTGGCAATTTATGATTTAACAATCTTTGTCTTTCTTTAATTTATTTTGCAGATTATCAAATTATCAAACATTTGTCTGTACTATATCCTATTTTGAATTTAATCAATTTTAAATTTGAAACCTATAAAGTAGTTCGGCCCACTTAATTTACGTCCAAGACGATTCGTCAATACATAAACCTATGCTTAAATTTTATTGATATTATAATACAGTGTTAATTAGTTTGAAAAAAATACATTATAATGATTATTATTAAGTTAAGAAACAAATTTGAGTGTTTAACTTTAAAGTTTAATTGTCGTAAATTTAAGGGGAATAATAAATGTATTTCTATTTTATTATATATCATTTTATATTCTAGATCCTGGTCCTGGCTGAAATTTAGAGTATTGCAGCTGTAGCCTGTATACCATACATTCGCTGTAGCCTGTATACCATACATTCAACATGAAAAGGACTGTCAGGTTTGTTAAATTGAAATTTATTCTTATTAATTTATATATTTGAATTTCTTTACAATACAAAGAATAAATTTTTCAACTACTGGATATTTATCTTGTCTTAAAATATATTTTTTCGGAATATTCCTGTAACATTATTAATATTAAATTTACATGTTTGTTGATTTCAGGATGCTGCATAAAATAGTCTTAGCTAGCCTAGAGCCTAGAATGTTAATTTCTTGGGAATATGCTGCAAGGAACTGACGGGGAGCAGTTTTTCTTACCAATCATAGGTGAGACTTTAAAATAGCTTCTTTTTAAAAAGATTTTGTTGTCTTATATACAGTATTTGCTGTCAATATCAAACTTAGCTATGTTTCAATTTCTATGCTGTTTTATGATGTAAATCTTAGAGAAAAGCATTTTAAGATAAAAACAAATCACTAAGTTGAGTAATTATATGTATAATTTGAGATTGACCAAGTCACTTTTAACTACAAACTTCTTATTTTTATTTGCAGAAGCAGTAAGAGACAGCCAAAGAAGTACTCAAACACTTGACATACCCAGAAAGATCAAGAAGAAAAGATTAGAACAGATTGTAGCTTAATTGATAAAACTATTAAAGTGAATTTAAGCTGCACTTGAACTGTATTTTTGAAATAAAATATCTGAAGTATTTAATATTGTCTTCATATTTTGTTAAACTTGGTTACTTTGCTTTATATCCAAAAATTAAAGTATGGTGGGTTTTCAACGTTAAAATGACATTAAAACTTCAACGTTGTGCCAACGTTGAAGCTGCAACGTTGTATCAACGTTGAAATTAACGTTGTTTCAACTTTCAAATCCGAATATAAATCCAACCTTATTTCAACGTTGAAATCTGACCAAAATTCAACGTTGAAACAACGTTGATGTGCCTGCTGGGTGCTATAGGTTAATTTTTATCCCTAAAATAAGTATCAAGGTAGGCTGGTATAGAATTTCAAATATTAAAGGAATAAGAATGGATGGATTGATGTCTGTCTAATATAAATATGCATCATTTAAAAAGAGGAACCATGACAGTTTCCCTATTGACATCAACCCTATAAGAGAGGAATTCGTGTTTAAAGACACTATTTTTTACTTGAGAAATAAGTTCACGGGCGCCGCCATTTTGGCGTTCTGTCATTCTCGCGAGACAGACGAGACCGAGATTGTGACGTGTAATACCCACTTCCGGTATAGTTGTACACGCTTGTACAACTGAAATATATCTTGATGAAGAACTTATCAATTTAATTGCGTACATGAAAACATCATATGGAACTGAATTGCTTTAATTAATTAATTGAAGACGCCGCGATATTAATTATCATTTGCCTAATACTCAAGCTTGCTGATGATCCCACCACATGATTTAAGCAATGACTGCTTAATATTCAAAGATAAACCATCAATTTACTTTGGGTACTATGAGAAACTTCTTCAAATTGACGATATATCCTTTTATTTTGTACTTAATTATACCCCCACAAACGAAGTTTAGGGGGGGTATATAGGAGTCAGCTTGTCGGTCGGTCGGTCCGTCCGTCCGTCCGTCGGTCGGTCCACATCATGGTTTCCGGACGATAACTAGAGTTTGGAATGAGGTATTGTAATCAAACTTGGTATATAGCAACCTTATGTGGAAACTCTGGTTGGTATTGCATTTGGACCCCCATTACTTAAAATAGAAAAATGGTTTCCGGACAATAACTACAGTTAGGAAAGAGATATTGTTATCAAACTTGGCATTTAGCAAGCTCTTATAAAGACCTGGGTTGGTATTGCATTTGAGTCCCCTGGGGTCAAGGTCAAGGTCACTGTTACTTTAAATAGAAAAATGGTTTCCGGACAATAACTTGACTTAGGAATGACATACTGTAATCAAACTTGGTGTATAGCAAGCTTATATGAAGACCTGGGTTGGTATTACATTTGGACCCCCTGGGGGTCAAGGTCAAGGTCACCGTTAGGAAAAATAGACAAATGGTTTCCGGACAATAACTAGAGTTAGGAATGAGATATTGTAATCTAATTTTGTGTAAAGGAAGCTTATATGAAGACCTGGGTTGGTATTGCATTTGGACCCCCTAGGGTCAAGGTCACCGTTACAGTGTTACTAAAAATAGAAAAAATGGTTTCCGGACAATAACTAGAGTTAGGAATGAGATATTGTTATCAAACTTGGCGTATAGCAAGCTTATATGAAGACCTGGGTTGGTATTGCATTTGGGCCCTCTGGGTCAATGTCAAGGTCACTGTTACTTAAAATATAAAAAATGGTTTCTGGACAATTACTAGAGTTAGGAATGTCATAATGTAATCAAACTTATATGAAGACCCCGATTGGTATTGCAGTTGGACCCCCTGGAGTCAAGGTGAAGTTCACCATTACAAAAAATAGACAAATGGTTTCCGGACAATAACTAGAGTTAGGAATGAGATATTGTAATCTAATTTGGTGTAAAGGAAGCTTATATGAAGACCTGGGTTGTTATTGCATTTGGACCCCTAGGGTCAAGGTCACCGTTACAGTGTTACTAAAAATAGAAAAATGGTTTCCGGACAATAACAAGAGTTAGGAATGAGATATTGTTATCAAACTTGGCGTATAGCAAGCCTATATGAAGACTTTGGTTGGTATTGCATTTGGGCCCCCTGGGGTCAAGGTCAAGGTCACCGTTACGAAAGATGGTTTTCGGACAATAACTAGAGTTAGGAATGAGATATTGTAATCTTATTTGGTGTAAAGGAAGCTTATATGAAGACCTGGGTTGGTATTGCATTTGGACCCCCTAGGGTCAAGGTCACTGTTACAGTGTTACTAAAAATAGAAAAAAATGGTTTCCTGACAATAACTAGAGTTAGGAATGAGATATTGTAATCAAACTTGGTGTATAGCAAGCTTATTTCGAGACCCCAGTTGCGATTACAATTAATTGAAATATTTCTTTGTACACAGTTGATAGTTTGTGTTCAAATTTTTCTTCAGACTACTTTTTTTTCAAAAAGTCAAAGTTGTTGGTGGGGGTATTAATCACCTTCAGTGATAGGTCTAGTTTTCGCTAGACAAGCTGTCCAAATAGGGTACATCGCCGGTCATATATCTTTTTTCAAGTAAAATATCAACTAAATCCAATATGCTGAGGACACGATTTTCCGCCATATACGCTAAAAATGAGAAAGGCGCAGGAAAATCGGCAGCCAGACTTATATCGTATGAAAACAAAACTGTCCGTAAAGTTATTTAGGCACCCAGTCAAAACTGGTACCAACAGCAACAGGTTGCCCATTCCCCTATAATTACGCATATTTTTGGGTTTATCCAGTTCCCCAAAGCTTTTTTCCACGTTATCTACTTACCAAATTCCTTTCCCCGACAGATACGCATTTCTTCTACCGTAAATTTAATCCAATAAAACAAAAAATCATAAATCTACTTAATATTTAAAATGATTATTGGGAACTGAAAAAAATGTGTTGCTATTTTATGACGTGCTGTAATTTACTACAGTACAATTTGACAGGTGTGGAACCGAATTCCCCCTAAGGTCATTCAGTTCACTGATGAAGCGTAAAAAAATGGATGTCTATTTCGTCATTAGAATATTTGACAAGGGTGATTAACCGATTAGGGCAACATTGTGCATGATCAAAAGGTCTGTCGGCACAGAGGCATACAAGGAGCAATAAAAATCGGCAGTACACAGTGTGACAGGAGCATTTGGTGCAAATTAGGAACAATTAAAATAGACAATGCGCAGAATTAAACATAAGTAGTAAGAACCAGCAATTGTGTGAATAAATTATGCAAATTAGATTTTTGAGCAGCCAATAAAAATGATTTGCCTGCAGTTAATATTAGGCTACGATTACGATGCGCAGCATCATACGTTGACAGACATGTTAAAAATTTACTTTTCAAAACAGTTGCTGATATTTTTGAAATGTGTACATCAATTATAACATATGTTCACACCTTTAAATTTGAAAGTCAGAATCAAACTGCAAAAAATTAATTATATGTACTATTAAGAACACGTTTTAGTAGGGTTTTTATAATAGAAGTGGCTAGCGTACGGGCCCGTACGGCTAGCCAAAAGTTTTAGCCGTACGTGAGTCACGTACGACTAGCAAGGACACGCTGTATTGGCTAGCCGTACGGCACTTTTCAAAATTTTATGGAAGTCGAAAATGCATATGATATTTTATGACTTTAAGCGAGGATTTTTAACCAAGAAACAGCATTAATTGTCTTTGGATGTTAACTTTTTAGAGATTAATCGCCTTGATCGCTATATATATCGATCTTTGTCATCGCAAGATGTCGAGACAAAATGGACCCGACAAAATAGCCTTTGCTTGCATTTACACCAATTGAAATAGTTTACAAATTTTTGATAATAATCCTTTTTTTTTGTTTCATTAAGTTTAATTTTCGACACCTTTTATATGGAAAAAAACAACAACAATAAACACTGAAAATGATTGTTGTTAGGCTCTTGATAATTGCGACAATTACCGACGGTACTGTATCAAGGAAAGTTTGCATGGTCCGTGAAAGGCATTCTAAAATTCTATTGTCAGTCCCTGGATAGGTTTTAATTAAGGCTAATTAATTGATTGACTGTGCTTTTATGTTCGATATTTATCTACTGTTTTGAAAATTATATAATTATTTTTGCATTTCACCGTTTTTTCCCATTCAATGTTCTTTTTATTTATTTATTCCACTCGATCATTTTTTATTCGATCCATGTGCTTAAAATTAATAAAAATGATTTAATAATTCATACAAATTAAACAACAAATGATAAGCATGAAAATCAACAATTTTATAACGTTCGACTTCCATATAATTTTGAAAATTGCCGTACGGCTAGACAATACAGTGCGTCCTGGCTAGTCGTTCGTGACTCACGTACGGCTAGAACTTTTGGCTAGCCGTACGTTTCTTTATTTTTTATTATTATTTTTTTTTTTGATATTGTTACGTATTTTGAACCATAAAAAATCTCCTCTACACCTCCTGTGAAAATTAAATTGTCTGATCAATACTTTATTATATTAATATTTCCTTACGATTCAACTAGATTTATCATGAATCTAAAAGATGTGGGGAAATGACATCACGCGCACCTGTTTTTATACGGCCAATACACAAACATGGCTGCGCTTACCGATTTGTAGAAATCGGTGATTTAGCAATTTAAATTTTGTTATCATTCGTTTAATATTATTATTTGGCTGCAGAAAATTTGCAGACTTATTATTTATAGTATTCTTTTTCTGAAATCAAGTTTTTATTTTAACCTTGTCTTTCCCTTTAAATTTAAGCAGATCTAGAAAATACAGATTAATCAAAGCATCATTTAACTTTTTTCAATCAGGTACTTTCACATGTTGACAATTATAAATTAATTGGGTCATGGATCAGTTCTTGGTTTTTTTTTGTTTTTTTATTACGTATTTGTCTCTTTCAACATTTAACAACTGTTGTACAAATTGCATAGTTAAAATGGAAAAATAAAATGTTTTTATTGCTTATTGATTAATAAAATAATAGGTCAAAATTTTTCATTGCACGTTAGCCGATGACAAATATTTATTTGTCGGTTAATTTTATAACAGAGTCCCAGCTGTTATTGTAATTTTTTTATTGCAAGGGCTAAGTATTTAATTAATCTGTGTCAAAAACCAAAACAAACATGTACCTCAAAAGCAAATTAAAATTATGACATAGAAAACAGCTGACCATGTTACTGCTTAATTATTATTCATTAGTTGAACGAACATTACTTTTAATCCAGTTTCTACGCCGTTCTATAATTAGTTAATTGCCATGCGCATGCAGTAAGTGCGTGACGTAAGGAAAACCCCAAGCCTGATTGGTCGCTATTTATATAAATACTTAAAATAGTAACATCCTAATTTTATGCAAGGAATGCCCTCATGAATTATCAATCTTTACGTTTATTTTCCGTATCAAATAAGCGATATTTGGACAAGTAAATGTAAGTCGACAATTCTTGCTTCTTCAACTGAGATCATGCCAGTCGACAATTCAGAGTGGCTTACATGCGGTAATCGATAAAGCATTCAATTTTCGCTAAGAACTATCGAAGAATGATAATAGTCAGCGAAAGTTGTTTGCAAAAAGGTTTACTCAAAGAAACATTAACATATACAACAGAAAAAGTTTTTTAATTTAGTACATTTTACGGATCTGTAATTGCTTTAAATTAGAGCTAAAAGAACCGGTTTTCCAGGTATGTACCGCGGTACGTACCGCAGATGTCTCAGACCGTGGTTTACCGGTATACCGGTTAAACCGCGCACCTCTAGTTACCAAAGTCTCATCCATCCAAATATTACCCATAAATGTTATGCAAACTATCACTTTTAACATGATTTAGTAGAAATAACTTCATTTATCATTGCCATGTTGGTCCAACTATCTATATTGCACAACACTTAAGTTAGTGAAGAATAAATGCTGAAAATGAGCTGTAGTTATGTCTTTAGTAATGGTTCAAAATTAGAATTTTATATGTTCAAAATGCCAATTTTATGTCATATGTATCATTTAGGTTAAAAAATATTTCACCTTTGAAAATGAATGCCATGACATCTTGTTTAACCTATTTATGTTTTCTTCCTTATGATATAAAGAGATGTTTAAGTGATCTCCACATCTCTATATCTCTAATAATGCTCATTAGTTCGACTACACCTAGTCACATTAAAAAAAAAAAGTTATCCTTTCAATAACTTTCAAAGTATTGCATAGTGGTTAAAAAGCTTTCTCCTGCTGTTTTCGATTGTCTTTTCACTAGATTTATAAGTCGCGTGTTTGCACTTTTCATAAAAAGAACATCTTGAAATGACTGTTACTGTTACAACAATGGTGGTAACGAATTTTAGCTGTCAGGAGGCCATTTACGCCTTTGATTCTTCCTAGGACCTTACTTCACGCTTAAAGTGTCTTGTTTTACTTAAACATGAAAGTCGAAGGTTTCAACTTTACTGACAACATCGCCACGAAATTTATGTTCTTTCTGCAACTTACACAGTTATTGTCTTAAATAAATATACGTTCAACATGTTTTTCTTGTTTCTGAACTTCTAATCATATTAATGGTCTCTTGCAGTTTTCTCTTCTCGTCGTAATGATAACAATACTCTTTTCTATCATTTAGGCTTTACATCCAGTCATCTAAAATGGAATTAAAAAGAGATTACAAAAAAACATTGTCTGGTCTTAAAAAAATAATACTATTCATCAAATAAATTTTACCCAGAAAGTGGAGTCCTCTTCAGAGAAATGCATAAATTTGGGTGCACTTTAGAGCAAAACGTATGTTCAACGTCAAATACAGCTTTCATGATCACAGACTCAATCAAACCATGCCTGTAATTTTCAGTAAATTTGCTGTTTTTAAGGCTTCCGAGGGATCACTTTTTTTACCAGATATTTATAGATGTGAAGTGCTGTGTGGCAGCCGTAAAAAGTTGCCCCGTACTTCACTTCAGTATTGTTATATTTTTCTGGTCTTTCGAATCATTGAATCCAGCACTTTAAAGTGTTGAGAATTTAGTACCGCTCATTAGGGATGTTGCACTTTTTCATTATCCGTCATATACAGACTCAATCGAACCGGCTCTGCAATTTTCATGTAAATTTGCTTTTTAATGCATCTGAGGGATCACTTTTTTACCAGATATTTTAATTACATCTGTAACTGTTATTGACGAGAGAAACAGAATTAAATAAAAGGAGGCATTTCCCCTGTGGTCACATGGTTGTAGGTATGACATGGGCTTTCATTTTTGGCTTATCAAAAAAAGCACCCGAACTATTTATCAATCACTGTCTTCATATAAATGAGTTATCTGTTCGTTTAGGCCAATACTTTCAATATGATTCACAGACCATATGCTGTAGTTTTCATAAATATAGGACGAAAAGCATAAGGAAAGGAAAACAAACAGATAGACAAACCCTATTAAAGATAGGCAGATGTTAACAGTATCTCAGCATCAAGTTTTACAACTATCAAATTTTATTTTTTGGTAAAGACAAAAAACAGAGAGCCAGACGGACAGAAAGGCAGATAGACATGTTTTTAAACAGAAAGACAGACGGTGTAGATGGACATACAGATATCTATATTAGCACAAACATCTCTGATTCATTACGTTTGTATTGAAACTATCTTATCTCATTTGTTTGTAAAATTGTACAACGAATTTAACACTCAAAATGGGGATCTATTACCACTGGCAAAGCAACAGTTAACTCCGAATATAGCTCCTCATCAATATTTGTAGCACAATTTAGTTAAACCAGAGACACAGATAACATGTTATCTATGTCTCTGGTTAAACCATGGAGCTCAACAACAATTTGAACTGCTTACTGTGACTGTAAAATAAGTTTTCTCCCTTTTTTGGAATCACAATTTTGAAATTACATAATCATTGTAAATTATGTATCTGTTTTTGACTCCCCTGACATCTCATATATCACTAGTATGTAAAAAAGATAATATACTCGTATCACACTCAGAGTATTACCTTTCAATTCTTATCTTCCAAATGTTATTAAAATGAAAACATAGTAGCTATCATACACAATGACATTTTTATACCAAAAACTAATGATCTGTTAATAAATATCATGCATTTATGATTCTAAAATTAGTAACAATTTATTCTAGATTTCGTGCATTGTTTACCCAAAAACGCTTCCGTATTTACATTTTGAAGCTACCCAGGATAAACTTAAATTTGTTTATTTTTATTTTTCCTACTTCATAAACATCTTATTATCAAAAGGAATGTTAATATATAGGCTAATGATTATTTATATCTCATGAAAATTGCAAAATCTTGACTGTTTTAAACGACAATCGCTGATTTATATACACGCGAAAACCCATTACAATTCATTCATTGTATTTGATATTTGGGCATGTACGAGGCTAAAAGTTGTAAAAACAAGTAAATATAATATAAAAATTTATACATACTTTGCACAACAGCTTCTAAATCCAACTCCAAGTAGTAAATGTGTAAATTTTGATATATTTAAATCGCGCGGCCTCATAACTTTTGTTTACCTCGACACCGGTTACAGTATAAAACTCTGTGTATGGTGTACATGCAGAGCCATATAAAAACTCGAAACAAATGCAAAATTTGAATTGCTTTTTTTACTGGTTTGCCATGGTTAGATTTTTTTAAGGGTTTTTACCTGTTTTATATGATGTGTATAACAAACTAAAAATGTAAAAAAAAGCTTGTGTTGCAATTTGTTTGACGTTAATTTTTACTTTAATCAGACTAAAACTTTGTCAGGTTGCTTATCTAGGTAATAGCTCGGATGATTTTAAACAATTGGGTTATCTCGGATGAAAAACTAGAGCTAAAATAGAGAAACCTTGCTAACACTCTAGTGGTTACATTTTTGACTCAATCTTCATCAAACTTGGTATGCTTGTTTAGGTAATTGCTCGGATGAGTTCAAATATGGGTCATCTCGGATGAAAAACTAGGTCACAGGAGCTAAAAAAAGAAAAATCTTGTTAACACTCTAGTGGCTACTATTTTGATCCAAGTATCCTGTAAAGTGGTCAGAAAGTTTAATTTGATGATTTCTAGGTCAAGTGTCAATATGGCTCACCTGGGGTCAAAAACTAGGTCACACTGCTCAAATATGGATAATCTTTGTTAACACTCTAGTGGTCACATTTTTGACTTACCTGTCATGAAACTTGGTCAGAATGCTTGTCTAGGTAATGTTTGGATGAGTTTGATGGGTCAAGTGAGCGATCTAGGGCCATCTTGGCCCTCTTGTTTATAAAATAGTACTCGAAGCCCTTCGCAAAAGTTTTTAGCTGACAGGGTGAGCTTTTGTGATTGCTTTTTGTCCGGCATCCTTAATTCTTTACTTTAAATGACATGTTCTCATTAACCACTAAGCCAATTTTACCCAAACTTCACATGAATGTTCCTTTGGTGGTCACCTTTAAAATTTGTTCAAGAATTTAATTCCATGCAGAACTCTGGTTGCCATGGCAACCAAAAGAAAAAAACAAACTTTAAATACCTTCTTTTAAAAACCCAAAGAGCTAGAGCTTAGATTTTTGGCATGAAACATTCTTCTAGTAAGTGTCTCTCAAGTTTGTTCAAATAAAAGCCCTGGGGTCAAAATTGGCAGCGCCTCAGGGGGTCATTGGCATAATTAGTAAAAGCTTTAAAGAACCCAAAGAGCTAGAGCTAAAATATTAAGCATGAAACGTGTTCTAATGGGTATCTACCAAGTTTGTTCAAATAAGAGCCCTTGGGTTCAAATTGGCCCAGCCCCAGGGATCATTGTTTTTCCTAATATGTTTTTAGTAAAACCTTAAAAAATCTTCTTATAAAAACCCAAATAGCTAGAGTTTAGATATTATGGCACATCTTCTTGTGAGTGTCTACAAAGTTGGACCTGCCCCAGGGGTGTCATTGTTTTTAACTATATGTGTGTAGTAAATACTTAATAAATCTTCTTTTAAAAATCCCAATGAGCTAGAGCTACAGCTTAGATATTTAACATGAAACATCTTCTAATGGGTGTCTACCAAGTTTGTTCAAATAAAAGCCCTTGGGTTAAAATTGGCCCCGTCATGGGGGGGGGGGGTCATTGATTTTCCTTTTTTTTGTGTAAAGTAAATACTTAAAATATCTTCTTTTAAAAAACCCAAAGAGCTGCAGTTTAGATTATGTGACTTATCATGAAACACCATCGAGTGAGTTTGTTGAAATAAAAGCCCTGGTTTTGTTTTATATCTGCTTTCATTTGTATTAATATATTACTTGTTCCTTGTCATGGAGAATATTCATATTCAGGTGAGCGATTGTCCCTCAATTCCAATATCTAGTAGAAATTTAAAAAGGGACTAATGCACCTAAAATGTCAAAATAAAAAATGCTCCATAGAGGATTCCTGCATTGCAATAAAATTGATTTTCAAATAAGGAAATTTGATTTGATTTTTATGAGATATATTGCGACGTAGAATGACTTGGGGACACAGACTGACTGAAAATGCCAATATTACTGTATACAATAAACATTTTTGAAAATTACCGAATTAAACATAATTATTTGTATTATTATTCATGTTGTAGGAGATAAAAAGACTCAAGGAAGAAGATTCTCCTCAACAAAAACAGTTAGAATTTCAAAAGGCTAAATCAGGTATGCTACAAATGTATTAAGAATATGAAAAGGCTAAATCAGCTATGTTATATAGAATATGTAAATGCTAATTCAGGTATGTGATTTAAATATGAAAAGGCTAAATCAGGTATGTTCTTAGGATATGAAAAGTCCAAATCAGGTATGTTATATCGAATATGAAAAGGTTCTATCCGGTATGTTATATAGAACATGTAAAGGCAAAATCAGGTATGTTTTTGAAATATGAAAAGGCTAAATCAGATATTTTGTATAAAATATGAAAAGGCTAAATCAGGTATGTTATATAGAATATGAAAAGGCCAAATCAGTTTTTTTATATAGAATAGAAAAAGGTTATATCAGGTATGTTATATAGAATAAAAAGGTTATATCAGGTATGTTATATAGAATATGAAAAGGTTATATCAGGTATGTTATTAAGAATATGAAGAGGTTATATCGGGAATGATATAGAATATGTAAAGGCTAAATTAGGTATGTGATTTAGATAAGAAAAGTCATAGTCAGACATTTTGAATAGGCTAAATCAGACATGTAATATGACCGCCGCCACGAGAAAAGGGCACTCGGGCATATATGACGTAACGTCAAAAACTTCGGGAAAAAGAGAGCAGCTAATGACAGCGATTTTTTCGTCGCCATACTAGTTTCGGTGCGGAGATTTATAAAGTATTGGCTGTATATGAATTGTTTGAGGAAATGGACGAATTTGAGGTAAAAAACAAACATTATATTATATTTATTTTTAAGAATTTTTAAGAACTGTCATATTTATTGACTTTTTAAACACGCCTGCTGTTCGCTATCTTTGCAGCTTTAATCCCGGTCTACGAATTATTTCAGCAAAACTGTACATTAATATTAAATGATGTCACAATTTCTGCTCAAACAGAACGTCAGGCGTACATGACAGCGGTTATTCAAGTGAGAGAAGAGATGGAAGGTTACACCCGACCGACAATACCCGTTGCACCAATTTCCACAGAGTTCAGTAAGGTATGCATATGACAGTTATGGTATAAGCTTTAAAGATCTTTTACAGGTTATATGACCATATATAAACGGTTGTTGTATATATAACCGAGCCGTAAGGCAATTGCAAATTACCGTTTACATTCATTAAGAATTTTTATTACGAATTTATAATAATGCAAACTTTCTTTATTATTAGAAGTAAAATGAAATAAATATATAAATCGATTGCAGCAGTGCATACAGATTATATTAACGTCACGATTATCCGTTGAAAAAATGACGTTATAAACGCGCAATATTATAATTATTAGTGCAAATAACATATTGAGAGTGCAATAGTCTGAAGGCTCCTGTCTTTATATTTGATAATTAAAAAAATGGATTTAACATACAAAACTGCATGGTTTTTAAATTAACAATTTACAAAGGCAATTTGGAAAATGCATATGTGATTCATATTGGTAAACTTAGATTAGTCAGAATATTAGTAAATAAAGTCATCATTAGAATAGTCAACATACATATATAATACACTGTAGCCTCGATAACTCGCTCTTCACTATAACGCTAATCTCAGTAGAGCGCTCATAGACCTTGGCTCCCAAAAAAAAAAAAAAAACTTAAAAAAAAAAAAAAAAATTTTTTTTTTTTAAGTAGACTTAGATTTATAGCGCGCTATAACGCTTGCTCAGTTTGATAGCCAAGTACAATAAACAATTGTTATTAGGACATTTATGATCGCCAAAGGTGTGAAAAACATGCCCAGGTAAGCGTTTATCCGCTCTTTTGTTGTTTTACCTGTCCATCAGTCATGCATCAAATTGTTTCCAAAATCTCAAATTCATATCATAACTGTTACATTGGCATTCGGTGGTGAGTATAAATAAACTAAAATTCACACACATATATTTGACATGTAAACCTCGCTGAATTAAATAACCCACAAGCCCAAAATCAATTTAAAATCCTGCACTGTAAATAGAGCGGCCATGACAGGTGGTAATTGGCGTTTGATTTACTAGGGGACACAACTAAAGCTGGACTGTAAATTACAGTGTCATTTACAGTCCAGCTTTAGTTGTGTCCCCTAGTTAATAAAACGTCATTACAGTAATGGCTACCTGTTTTACACTACATTCATGATTTATAATTTTCTTTCGAAAGTTTTTCCTTTCTTTTAAATATAATTAGTATTATTTGTGAATATAATATATGTTTACATCATTGAATGGTTTTAGAAAAAGATAATGTCGATATTCATTGAACAGTAAGTAAAAAAATCAGCGTTAAATATATATGCAGTGGGTGGGGTAATGCGGTAATTTCGCAATGAGCGTTCTAATGAGAGCCTCGTTAGAACGCGGTGTTGAGACATTGGACCCCAACATGAGCGTTTTAATGAGGCTGAAGTGTATAAAAAAAGGCTTAGTATTTTATTGATGAATATTTTGGTCAATTTTATCAGGTTCATATCACTTTTGACTACAGTCAGAGTGTGACAATCCCTCATCACAGTCGACAGATGGGACCCATGTACTTTGTAACAGGCAGGAAAATAAATATGTTCGGTATCCGCATTGACTCTACAAGTGAGCAGTTCAACTACTTAATAGATGAAGATCAGTCTATAGGTATGTTAACTATTAACAAACTTTTAACAAAATTTACTTAGAAACGTATATCATGACAGAATAGGACATGTGATTGGATGTGGGTAAATGTTGGTTATTTCATGCACGTGCAGGCATATTGTCGTCCTCCCGAAATATAATTATGATCCTTGCATTAATGAGTTTTACACTACGCTATATTATTGACATTTTTATTAATTGATATAAAACTGTATTTCATATAAATTATTGTCACCTTGCAGGTTTAGATGGAACTTTGGACACATGGACCGAATTCAGTATTAAGCATGCTCTATCATTGTTTACAGAATTACGGATTTGGCGAGAAAGGACTTTATCTACACGCAGATAATTGCGGAGGTAAATCTTGTTTTTACATTAACTTATGAATAAAAATATTCAGCATATTCATTGATTAATAATACTAAAACAAGTAATATAAAGTTATTTCCGTTCCTTTTTCTTGTTAACAGGTCAAAATAAGAATAGATACACACTGGCGTATCTTTGTTGGAGAGTAAACAGAGGGTTACATGACACATTCAATTGAATATGGCTATTTCCGGGTAAGTACCTTGATATATTTATACATAGCATCGTTACGGCACATTCGTAAGCGTTGGTTATGTTTCTAAAGTAATAAAAATCCTTGTGTTTCGTCACAAAATTAAATAAAATCCTCATATTTTATTCAGATATAAGAGAACACATAGTTAAGTAACAGCCTACTCAAAAATATGTGACGAAGTGGATTTTACTACTACAGTGTTTTTATGGTTATGTGATAACTAATTTGTTTGTACTGTCATTCATTAATTCATGTACTTTATTTTTATCTAAGATGTCTTGTCGATGGTGGCTTCGGGCGAATTAAAAAGCTATTCAAGAGGTCTGATTGTGAGAGTCTGAGTCAATTTGCAGACATTGTGGATAAATCGGCAAGGAACAATTTCCCTGTTTTATATCGAAATGAAAACAATGATCAAACATGGAAATGGTAATTAATTTTCTACAGAGTTTAAACAGATTTTCGATAACTAGTTAATAATATAATGTAGGCTTAAACATTATAACAAGCATGTATAATAATGATGATCACTATCACAGCCACGCCGATCGCTAGCAATACACATACATAGTAGCAACAAACAAAAACGTTATTTATTTTAAATGCAACAGAAGAAAAAAAATGCAATACCTAAAATCTTTTTTTCACAAAGATGGTATATTTTTCAATAAGAATGTACGTTATATACATTATTAACTGCATTTAATAAAATAACATTATTTTAACACAGGTATGACTGGAAGTCGTATTTGACGCGATATTTCCTTCAAGTGAAAGGCATACAGAAATATCACTGCTTCAGATTTTCTGCTGCAGACAAGTCGGCTGTGTTTGTAAAGAAAAGAACAGATAGCGAGCAGATTAGAGTTCCGCTGATAAGACGTAATACTGAAGTTCTAACAACAACCTTTCCCGAGGTCATACAGCCCGCAGGACTTGAAGTCGTACACGGCGCGAATATTTATACCGTAACGTTAGAAAATATCTGCGTCCTGCATACCAAGATGCCACGTGCCCGGCATACACTGAAGAGTGATTCACGCTGCATGCGTACAGACTGACTGATGAATTTTGTTATTGTTTTCAAGTTCAGTTGTTACCATTTTTTATAATTAAAGTTTTGCTATTAAGTTTCTTAGGTTATGACAGCAGGGGCCAAGTCTTATAATTATAAAATGTAATTGTTTTACATGTATTATTCAAGAATACGATAATTTTGAAAATAGTGTTATAAAATAGTTTTTAAATTATATTTTAATATCTTACTTTTATATATTTTAGTATTATTCTAGTAAGTGCAAAATTAAAACTTTTGAAACACTTGACTTCATTTGTTATCTGCTAAACTACATTTGACGTCGTCGTCATAATTATTATGACGTTACGTAAATCTGTCGTTGACGTTGCATTAATGTCCTCTTTTAAACCTCTATATCTCAAAAAGTATTTACAATATCAATGTGAAATAAAGTGCATCGTGCACAAGAATGCATGTCCTAAAATATTAGCCATAAAACTAAAAATCGATAAAAAATGCCCGAGTGCCCTTTTTTCGTGGCGGCGGTCATATAATATATTAAAAGGCTAAATCAGGTATGTTATATAGAATATGAAATGTTAAATTAGGTGTGTTATATAGAATATGAAAAGGCTAAATAGGTATATTATAAAGAATTTGAAAAGGCTTAATAATGTTTGTTATATTCATGTAGAATATGAAAAGGCAATACCTGGTCAGGTATGTTATATAAAATATGAAAAGGCTAGATATCAGGTATGTAATATAAATTTTGAAAGGTTGAATTAGGTATGTTATATTATAGAATGAAAGGGCTCAATAAGGTATGTTATATAAAATATGAAAAGGCTAAATCAGGTATGTTATATAGAATATGAAAAGGCTAAATCAGGTATGTTATATAAAATATGAAAAGGCTAAATCAGGTATGTTACATAGAATATGAAAAGGCTAGATCAGGTATGTTAAATAGAATATGAAAAAGGTAAATCAGTTATGTTATATAAAATATGAAAAGGCTAAATCAGTTATGTTATATAGAATATGAAAAGGCTAGATCAGGTATGTTATATAGAATATGAAAAGGCTAATCAGGTATGTTATATAGAATATGAAAAGGCTAAATCAGGTATGTTATATAGAATATGAAAAGGCTAAATCAGGTATGTTATATAGAATATGAAAAGGCTAAATCAGGTATGTTATATAGAATATGAAAAGGCTAAATCAGGTATGTTATATAGAATATGAAAAGGCTAAATCAGGTATGTTATATAGAATATGAAAAGGCTAAATCAGGTATGTTATATAGAATATGAAAAGGCTAAATCAGGTATGTTATATAGAATATGAAAAGGCTAGATCAGGTATGTTATATAGAATATGAAAAAGGTAAATCAGGCGTGTTATATAGAATATGAAAAGGCTAGATCAGACATTTTATGACTATGAAAATTCAAAATCAGGCATGTTAAGGCAATATCAGGTATGTTATATAGAATATGAAATGGCTAAATTAGGTATGCTTCATATGCAATATTATAATGCTAAAACAGGTGAATTTGCCCTAATTGTAATAATTTTATCATATATCTTTGTATTTAATTTATACTTTTTTACAAAACAACGCTTACTACAAAATCATCATTTCAATGTCAGAGAACTCTCCAGTTTGTGAGGGAATCTTGTAATGTTAAAAATAATTTGTGAGTTTTGCTAATTTTATTGGCTGCTCAATAAATTTCAGGTTGTCGTACTCAATTGATAGAACATTATCGCAGTGATGTGCTTAAAGTATCAGCAATACCTTTACAACCAGATGAGGAAAATTATAACTTCAGTGATGCTTATATAAGACCCACTATAACAAAAAAGATAGAACAGAACAGAGGGGAGTCTGAGGAAATAGAAATAAAGTCCATGTCAGAGATTTTCACAAAGAACGGGGATCCACAGAAGTTTATTTATGTTGTTGGAGATGCAGGGTCTGGTAAGAGTAGTTTCTGTAAATATTTGATCAACTGTTGGTGTATGGCACACAGTGATGGACACAATGAAAATGATGAGTTTGATTGTATAGCACTCAGTGATGGACAAAATAAAGTTAATACAGGGTCTGGTAAGAGTAGTTTCTGTAAATATTTGATCAACTGTTGCTGTATGGCACACAGTGATGGACACAATGAAAATGATGAGTTTGATTGTATAGCACACAGTGATGGACACAATGAAAATGATGAATTTGATGGAGTCAAGGAAATGAAAAAATTTGATTTTATGTTTTATATTTCTCTTAGACATAGCATAAATATCCGAAGTATCCAAGAAATGCTTGAAATGCGATATGATAAGATAAAAAATTTAAGTAAACTTCTGGAAAATGATTCTGAAAAGATAATTATTTTGCTTGATGGTTTAGATGAATGGTCTTTTGACAGTGAGACTAGGAATGAGTTCCAGGCAGGCCTTCCGGAACGTGACTTTACAAAGAAATACACCATTGTTACTACATCACGGCCATGGAAAATTCACAGTTTGAGAGTAAGTAATAGAGAGATTCATCAATTATTGAAATTAAAAGGGTTTGATAAAACACATGAAAAAGAAATGATTAAGAAAACAATAACAGCATTGAACGAATCATTAGATCCTAATGTGTGTGAACAAAAGCTTAGGATACCGTCTGTGGTTGGCCTGAAACAGGTACCAATTATGCTGCAACAATTGGTTTGTCTATGGTGTGATGGTAAACTCGATAAAACCTCAAGGTGTGCTATTTATACTGGTATGTTAGAACTTTATTTCACCTGGAATATCAATAAAACTTTAGGAAATAATACAGAATGTATGGAAAGTTCTCAGAATGTTGAACTCCCTCAGTATTTAACAGATGTAGAGATATGTAGATTAAATAGTCATCTTATATATGGTGTGTCGCACTTGGCTTATGAGACATTGTTCAATTATCCGAAGGATAAGTCCTTAACATTTGACAAATCTGTGTTTGATGATTTGAAAATATCACAAGAAGTGCGAGAAACATGTCTGAAACTGGGAATTTTGACAGAAGATAAATGTCCTTCTTTATCTGTATCTAAACCTAAAAGCTCATTGTTCTCTTTCATTCACAAATCAATGCAAGAATTTCTGGCTGCAGTGAATATTGGTATCAATTTTAAGATAAGAATAAGTTTGCCAGATAGTACGCAAACAGAAAATGTTGATTTGCAAAGCAAGTGCATTCAGTTTATTAATGAGGTTTTTCAGAAATGTTCAACAGTAAATGACATATTAGAGCAGTCAAATGTTATCATTATGCTATGTGGTCTTGAACCTAGATTAGCAACACATGTTTCAAAATACATATATGATACTGTGTCAGAAGACTCTCGTGTTCAGGAATACAGGAGAACAATAAATAGTAACATTTATAGGGATCATCGTTTTATTACTGATATTCAAAAGCTTATGTTTGAGTCAATGGAAGAATTCAATGCAGCATGTAGTAAAGGAAATAATCCTGTATTTTATTTAGGAGATTTGGTCATTGATGATAGTGATGATTGTGATATTGTTTGTTCAGGTATTGACCAGCATCTAATTGTTCCTGACTTTGTTCTGTCTATTAAGGTAGATAAAATCAACACAGAAAATGTTAAATTCACAAAATACTTACCAATGTTTCGTCATCTTGAAAAAATTGAAATAAGATATCAAGATGAGTATCGATGGTATAGTCGAAGTACACAGAGTAATAAACAGAGGATTGATGAGATAAACAATTGTGTTTCTGAGACAATTAAAGTAAATACTTCAACATTAAAATCTCTGTATCTTCATGTCTCTTACACTGACAAGTATAACCCAATGCATATAACAGTTGTTAGTAACCTACCTAGTATGATCAATCTTGTAGCATTAAGTATGGAAAATAAAACAATGAGTCATGATGATACTACTACATTTTGTAATTTTCTTGAGGGAACCAGTCATCTTGAACAAATACATCTTAGGATTGTTAAATGTGAGTGTAAGAACCAGCATGATGTAAATTTATCAAAACATCAACAACTTCAGTACCTTTATTTGGATAATGCTGTTAGTTTAATTGTAGATGCTGATACTAGAAACCTTGAAATATTTGAATTTTATTATTTGAAAGATAGTAATTATGAGAAAATATTTGATATTGTGAGAAAATCTTACAAATTAAAAGAACTTAAATTGCATGGAGATTATTACAATAAATCTCAATTTTATCATACCAACATAACAAAGAGACTTGTCACAGTATTACCATTGTTACACAATCTCAGTAAGCTTAAGTTATGGTGGTGTAGGTTAACTGACAATATAATACAGTCACCTTTAGAGATGAGTAGTTTAAAGGACATTCAGCTTGTTGGTGTCACAATGAGTTTGACAACATGGCAGAAGTTTGTTGATAGTCTTCCTAGTATTCCTCATACTGTAGATGTGAGTGTAGCTGACTGTTATATAACAGGAGATGGGGAGGAGTTTAATGATGATATGTATTGGTTTGGATTGATATCAGGAGAAGGACTTAGAGGAGGGAAGGGAAATGATGCTAAACAGTATGTAAAAGATCAGTTATTTCACATTAAACGGAATTATGGTTCGTTTGACTTTTCAACAAAAAAGTGATATAGGATACATGTAGTTAAAATAGTGTTTAAATTAGTGCATGTTAAAAGAGAAGATTTTTTTTTTCATTTTTGACCAAAAAAAAAATGATCCGAATTTTTTAACATAGTGAGGGAGTACACATGCAGTTAACATAGTGCTTGATCTCAATTATTTCGTGATAAAAAGACATAATTATTTAAATAAACATTGTCAGCAAAAAAAATAATACGATATGTTAAATAATGAATGTAGTGCAATATGATAGATAACAATCATCAAAAACAGTTGAACTGAAATATTCAGGGCAGAAGAAGTGAATGATTAATGTAACTGAATAAATAAATATCTGTTATATGATATATTGGACAATGTAATGATTATAAACAAATACTAGTTCTACAATATATAGGACAGGTGAATTATATATATTGATACCAGTTGAATGGTGTATAGGATAATGGAATGTTATAAATAAATACCGGTTATACAATATATAGGACAGGGGAATATATAAATACCAGTTATATGATATATAGGGAAAGTGAATGATATTTATAAATACCAAATATGATATATAGGACAAATATTGATAAAATTTAAATACCAGTTATATGATATATAGGACAATGTATTGGTATAAGCAAAATTTATACTAGTTGTACGATTAATAGGGCAGGTGAATTATATATATTGATACCAGTTATATGGTGTATACTCAGGATAATGTAATGGTATAAACAAATATTCTAACACTCACGTGATTTTGTCACTATAGACAAAGAAGGAAAAAAAAACTGGTGTTAAACTGCCAATAAACACCGGTTAGGGACTACTTGTATATGCGCTGTTATGTTTTCACCCTCGATTGTACAGTTTACAAAGCATTTTAAAGCAACAATAAAAAGCATTTTTATTTATATTTTCAGTCCATATAATGTTTTCTTTTCATACAATACCGAAATAATATCTCACATACACTAACGCCACATATTGGATCCAAATCAGTTAATACATATTTTGACAAAACGGCGCCAATCCGTAAGCAGCGTAATGACGTCATCCTAAGTAAAAAAACTCATTCATAAACAAGCTGACGTTATTTCATACATACAAGAATGATAAATGGGGCACTGATGTAAACACAATACGAAGTTGAAAACTTGATAAAATTACGTTTTTTTCTTATTATTTCTTTTGGTTGATAATTTCTATATCTTCGCAACAGTAGGGTGCGAAAATCGAACAGCGTTATACGAAAATCGCCACCGGGAGTTATTTCCGCTTGAAAAATAACATTAGTGATTTTCCTTGTTTTATCGTGTTAGAATCGAAATAACATCGGCCTGAGAGGTGTATATCAGCTATTTAACACCTGTTTTGTCGTTTTGATGCGACAAAATTAACCACTCAGTCCTACGGCCTTCGTGGTCAATTCCTACGCATCAAGACTCCAAACCGGTGTTAAATAGCCGATATACACCTCTCAGACCGATGTTATTTCTTAAATAATTGCACAATAAATAGGAGAAGTGAATGATATATATTGATACCAGTTATGTGGTGTATAGGATAATAAAATGGTATAAATAAATACCACTTATACAATATATAGGACAGGGTATATATAAATACCTGTTATATTATATAAAAAACAAGGGAATGATAAATATATAAATGCCAGTTATATGATATATAGGAAAAGTAAATGATATTTAAAAATACCAAATATGATATATAGGAGAAATGATTGGTACATGTATATGTAAATACCAGTTATATGGCATATGGGACAAGGGAATGGTATTATATAAATACCAGTTATATCATATATAGGACAAATGATTGGAATATGTAAATACAAGTTATATGATATATAAGAAAATAAATACCAGTTATATGACATAGGACAATGAAATGGTATATATAAATACCAATTATATGTTAGATACGCAAAGGAACTGGTATATATAAATACCAGTTATATGATATATAGGACAAGGGAATTGCTTATATATGAATACCAGTTATATGAGGTATAGTATAGTGGAATAATATATTTTTTTATTTGTTATATGATATATAGGATTATATGCTATAGAGGAATGGTAAATTTCATATATGAATACCTGTTAGATGATATAGAGGACAAGTAAATTGTTTCATTGAGATGAGGACCATTTACATGTTATATTTAAGAGATTCCTTCTTTGATTGTTTTATATTGTTAAGATTAAAAAAGTGATAAATATTACAATTATGCAAAACGGTAAAAGTTAACAAATTAATACTGTTAGTCAGTAATACTCTAAGTGTAAAGTTAAAGGCACTCCACTGAGGATTTTTGACATGTTTGGAATTATATTTTTCTGATTTTTGACATGATAGGATGGGGGTTATACTTTTATAACTGTTGAATTAGATTTTTGTAATGAAACAGTTTGTCATATTTTAGTACCAAGAAATTATAACATTATAATTATGTATAGATAAGTTATATTTCTGCTGATGTCAGCATAATAATGATATGTTAGTTTACATGTATTGTAAAACATATGTTACATGAAATAACTAAAACGATATGTTGTCTAACAATGCATCCTGGGTAATTTAAGCATACTGGTTATGAATACACTTCATGAGTGATGAATGTAGCTCAGCCAAATATGTATGTATGGGTTCCGACAATGCTAAAATATATATTAAATGTTTTCAGACAGTAAAGATATAACTACATTTTATTATAGGTGTGTTAGTTTTTTATGCTTGCTGATGTTAGTATATACCAAAATTAAGATATGTTAAATATCGTAAATATAGTTTACACATGTCTGTTTGTTATATGAAAGTTTGTTACATGAAATTCTGATTGAATGTATATAGTACATATGTAAACATATTATTTCATGTAAATAAATGTTTGTTGTATAGTTACATGCTATTGCAATCCTTTGATGACAGTAAGATAATATTATTTATATAAGATAATTTTATATAAAGAAAGATTTTGGGACATGTAATCCTACGTACATTTTAAACAGTTATACCTGTTTGATTTAAAGGCCCATTAAGCCTTAAAAAATGCAATTCCTTTTATTTTTAAAAAGCTTATTGTTTTATGTACAAAGAGTTTTTCATTGTCCATATACCAGAACCATCCTTTGTTTGTTTTGCATTTATTTATGTTTGATTTAAAGGCCCATTAAGCTTAAAAAATGCAGTATGTTATTTTTCAAAAGTTTATACAATGTATTTTTGGTGTCCTTAACCTTTTTTCATAGGTCATATATCTAAGCCAACTTTTGTTTCTTTTGCATTTTAGCAACCAGTACAAGTATGGTGAATAAGTATTATATATGGAAGTCAAATTACATATTTTTTTTTACATTTTGCATCTCTATTAACAAACTCAATTTTTTGGCAGGTGATAAGAATAGCACTTTTTCTAAATATATTATTACAACATTATAAAACACATATTGGCCCTTTTACAAAAATAAAAATCTATTCATTTCTGAGGTGTAATGTGCCTTTAAACTTTAAATGTATATGTAGAGTAAATTCATCTGGTATATAAGTAAACATATAATTACATGAAGATGTTATTAATTGTTAACTAGATATATGAATGTTTATTTTTATTTCATGCTTAGATTTGTTATGTCTTGTGAACATATGCATCAAACATGTTTGTTTGTGACTTGGAATATAGATTTTATAATTCTAGTATATTTGTAAACATACAATTTACATGTACTAATAACAAATGTATATTGGCCATGTTTATGCATAAACAATTCTATATGAAGTTAAGATAAGTTCATGCTGTAATATGTTATGTCAATTGTACATTATATATAAGCTATGTCTGTTAAATGGATATTGTATGATTAAATCCATCTAGTACATTTGTAAACCTTAAATTACATGTACTTGATAACACATATATTTTGGCAAGGTCTATGCTGAAACAATTCTATATGAAGTTAAGATAAGTTCATGCTGTAATATGTTATGTCAATTGTACATTATATATAAGCTATGTCTGTTTAATGGATATTGTATGATTAAATCCATCTAGTACATTTGTAAACCTTAAATTACATTTACTTGATAACACATATATTTTGGCAAGGTTTATGCTGAACAATTCTATATGAAGTTAAGATAAGTTCATGCTGTAATATGTTATGTCAATTATACATTATATATTAATTATGTCTGTTTAGTGAATATTGTATGATTAAATCCATCTAGTACATTTATAAACCTTAAATTGCATGCACTTGAAAACACATTTATTTTGGCAAGGTTTATGCTGCTCAATTCTATATAAAGTTAAGATAAGTTCATGCTGTAATATTTTATGTCAATTATACATTTTATATATTAACTATGTCTGTTTAATGAATATTGTATGATTAAATCCATCTAGTACATTTGTAAACCTTAAATTACAAGCACTTGATAACACATATATTTTGGCCATGTTTATGCTTAAACAATTCTATATGAAGTTAAGATAAGATCATGCTGTAATATGTCAATTATACATGTATATACATATATATAAAACATGACTGTTTAAAACTTGAAATGTTTATGGAAAACAGTATTCAGTATATGATCTTATCATGGGAGCTTCATAGAGAGAATTGTTATTATACTGTTTTTGTTATTAATGTTGTACTTTTAAAATAGAACATGTTTGTTTGATTGGTTTTGATAGCATGAATGTGTGACTTTTCTTAATAAAAAAAATTGTACAAAATTGATTAGTGAATCATTTGTTTTTCCTCCCTTACAGAACAAATTGAGGGTATGAAACGTGTCAAAAATTTTCTTACCACTATTTCCATATATAGCAAAGACTAAGCTGCCAGTACATAAATAACGTTTGAAAAATATATGCACTGTACTAATGATGAGACATTGACTCGTGAAATAACGTTTGTAAAATATATGCACTGAACTAGGAATGAGACATTGACTCGTGAAAAAACGTTTGTAAAATATATGCACTGTACTAGGAATGAGACATTGACTCGTGAAATAACGTTTGTAAAATATATGCACTGTACTAGGAATGAGACATTGACTCGTGAAATAACGTTTGTAAAATATATGCACTGTACTAGGAATGAGACATTGACTTGGGGAAATAACGTTTGTAAAATGTATGCACTGTATTAGGAATGATACATTGACTCGTGAAAAAACGTTTGTAAAATATATGCACTGTACTAGGAATGAGACTTTGACTGGTGACATAACGTTTGTAAAATATATGCAATGTACTAGGAATGAGACATTGACTTGGGGAAATAACGTTTGTAAAATATATGCACTGTACTAGGAATGAGACATTGACTTGGGGAAATAACGTTTGTAAAATATATGCACTGTACTAAGAATGAGACATTGACTTGTGAAATAACGTTTGTAAAATATATGCACTGTACTAGGAATGAGACATTGACTTGGGGAAATAACGTTTGTAAAATGTATGCACTGTATTAGGAATGATACATTGACACGTGAAAAAACGTTTGTAAAATATATGCACTGTACTAGGAATGAGACTTTGACTGGTGATATAACGTTTGTCAAATATATGCACTGTACTAGGAATGAGACATTGACTGGTGAAATAACGTTT